GGATACAGAGGAATTTTGTGGGTACCTTTTCCAAGGAAAGAATTGAATGCAATTCTCTCAAGTCATCTGTCAATGGGCAGATTGGCGCTCCCACTCTGTTGGTGGGGATTTGGAAGGGTAGACCAAGGAAATCGGTCTGCTGTATCTTTTCCAGAGAAAGAAACAAGACAAATATGCTGTACAACATGGAGAATTTGTGTTCACAGGGGTTGTCCTTCATCAACCGTCAACAGGGTGGTATAATTCGAGCGGGTTGTTTCCTCCAGACCTTCCTGAGCGAGCTCAGGTGCAGTCCTTGTCGATTTCAAAGCCATCTCTTGTGATTTTTCGTCATTCGAGCCCATGGTTGGTGGCCACGTCTGATGGGCAGCGCAGACGTCATAAAATAGGATTGTTGTTGTGTGTAAATAGCGAAGAAGTTCAGTCTGGTTCCAACCTTGTTTTGGTGGAAACTTGGACTGAGCTTTGGCTATTTGTAGCTCTCGTTTTAGTCGCTCAAATTCCTCCACAATGTGAGGAATGATAGCAGGATTAGCGAAGAATTCAGATGCCGTTCGCCGCATCCAAGTCAACGGCTCGGCGCGTTGAACAATTAATGTTGGGTCGCACGAGCAAAAATTCCCAAAAGCAAGGCGACTTTTTGTCAGTAGTGATAACCCGTTGGGCCGTTGCGAGAGCAAACATCTCCTGTCTCCAAGCCTGCTTGAAGAGCCTGTGAAACTTTGACAGCTTGAGTTTTGTGATGTAGGCAACGAGCGATTGTCCTTGCACTGCGCCATCCTCGGCGGTTTTGGAAGGAGGGGGATGCTTGCGTTGGCTCTTTGAAGTCGTGGGATCAGGCGGATTGTCCTTAGTTAACTTGATTGACAAAGGAGTGGTCGGATTCGGGCGAGTGTTGACCGTGACGTCCTGACCTTGGGGAACTTCAGATGGGAAGAGCGAGCGGCCTTTCATTGCGCCATCCTCGGCGGTTTCTGAAGGGTTTCGCTTGCTGCTGCGCTTGGGAGTCGTGATGGCAGGATTATCCTTTGTTAGAGCAATTGACGATTGAGTGGTCGAATTTGATCGGGTTTTTGCCTCGAGACCTCCCTGACCTTGGTCAGCTACAGTCATGATCAAATTCGGATCCTTCTCCGGCGGGTTGACAATGTTATCCTTCATGTTAAAGTAAATTTCTTTCCTGTTTCAGCAACAACAACTGTTTTCCTTTACGTAGAAAACGCGTAGGACTGGTACAGTTTTGTTTTGGTGCTGTGCATGGAAAATAATTTTCTACCTTTTAGTTTTTGATTTTTGATTTCTGAGTTTTATGAATCCCAATTGAAAAAGAAGTCGAATGTTGTCGCATATCACTACGTTCGCTCCAGATGCGCAATTGATATCCTACGAATTGAATGGATAATTTCCGCTGAGAACTTGGCCGACGTTTTAACCAAGATTCAACCTGGCTCCGTTCGCGACCGTCTTATGGAACACATCATGTGGAAAGCAAAGCGAAATGGAAGACTTGCTCTTCTGATTTAAATTTTTGGAAACGTCTTCATCCGTCGCCGGATATTGTCAGTCTTGGACAGTATTGGATGATACGTCCTCCCAAGAGGGGGTACGGTTGATATTAGCCCAATCCGGAGTACAAGGTTCTCTAGTACATCAGTATCACCTTGAGGGGACCGTTATTTTGGACCAGATAGTGTCCGTCATTTGTACGTTTAGATATTTTAACCTAGAGATTCGCACACATCTTGTAAAATCCCCATGTTTGTCATCGTACTCATTTTCGTCCCGAATCTCTCGTACCTCGCTACTCAATTTAACGTTTGGGGAAATCAAAACCGCGGAACCAGACTAGATGTTGTCAAACGCGCGCTAATTTATGATCCCTCGGTAACATTTTCACAGGAAAAAAAGGGAACTTTTAAGGGAACTTTTAGGTAACTTTTAGGTTGAACTTTTGTCAAGAAAAGGGAGATTTATTCAGACTCCCTGTTTTATCAACTCCCCCTATGTATATGTTTTTCTGTTTCCAACAAATTGCCATCATGGATTTTTGAACTATTACCATCAGTATTTGATTTGGCATCGGCTTTGGACGATCCAATACTCTCAATAAGAGTACTCTTCACTGCCGATAGCCTACTATGATGCGGGACAATATTTGAAGGATTGGAGAACGAGTGAAGCGAAGAAAGAGCTCAAGAAACTTATCGATATGGAGACATACATCACCAAAAACACTCTTCCAAACCAAGAGATTGAAACGTTTTGACATTATTGGAACTTGTTTTTGTTATGCAATGGACAAGCATCAAGTTGCTTACGCTTCTTGCCTTGTCTTAGGTCAATACGATATTGAGAATGGCCGTCCTATGATTAGCGTCCTCTAGTGTAATTTGAATTTTCAATTAGTGTTCACTTGCCTACTTTAGGGGGGAAATGTTTTGATGCAGACACAGATCAAAAGTTCCCTGGGATATTCCGCATTTTGGTGTGAATCTGAACCGGAATCGGGGCCTGACCGGCTTGCTCACTCCTTCTGCAAGGGGATCTGTGATCCGACATCATCACTGCTAGTGGAATTCATTCTTGGTTGGTGATCGTTGCGTTTTGGTCGTAGTTTGTTAAATTACAGACAGTTCCCCTAATTGACTATTGTTTTTGTCCTCTGAGTCAAAAATTCTGTGAATTTTTCGCAGATGTTCCGAAATCTCTGTGAATGACCAACAGATGTTCCAAAATCTCTGTGAATTTTTCACAGGTTTTTTAAGGGTCTCCACAGATGTTCCGAAATTGCCATGAAGTTTCAACAGAGGTTCAGCTGACATGTGTGCACGCATGCCCTTTCGTTAAAGCTCCAGACAACTTCCGTAGAGGAAAAAACGGTCAATGTTGTGCGCAAGCAATGCTTGGTCGTCTGGGTCAAAAATTCTGTGAATTTTTCACAGATGTTCCAAAATCTTTGTGAATTTTTCACAGATTTTTCGAAATCTCTGTGAATTTTTCACAGATGTTCCGAAACTTCTGTGAATTTTTCACAGGTTTTTTAAGGGTCTTCACAGATGTTCCGAAATGTCAAAATTGCGGCAAATGGTGGGTTCAGCTAGGAATATAACACTTATGGCTGCACTATGTAAAACCAGTTGCAGACTTTTTTCCTCAGTCGTCTGAGTCCAAAATTCTTTAAATTTTCTATCGTCTGAGTCAAAAATTCTGTGAATTTTTCACATATGTTCCAAAATCTCTGTGAATTTTTCACAGATGTTCCGAAACTTCTGTGGATTAAACTAAAGGAACAATTTGATGCGTCATCGATTTGCACAACAATGACTTTGGAAAGAGATCGCTGTTAGAAAAACGTTATTGCAGTAGAAAAACCAAAGTCACACAGTGTAGGCAAAGTCACTCAGTGTAGGTACGTAAAACGGTATGGATCTACTTTATTCAATCTGGTGGTACAGTGTTTGCTTCAAAGATGGGATGTCCATGGTCCATCGCATACTGGACAAGAACAGCCACAGCTTCAAAAGCTGACAGAATATTATTATTCTTGGATGAACGTGTTGGGATATGACGAAATATGAGTTTTTACGTTCCAAAAGAAACTATTCAAGTACAAGGTTTTCGACATGTGCGATCGGACTTTGATCGTGCGCGATGTCGGGATTCGACGCAAGTATGCCGGACGCAAGTCTGTCTGTTATAATAAAGCAAAATGTGCTCTATCGTGAGTGCCTTTAGCTCTCAGAACAAACTCTCTGCAATCTAAATTTGTAATCGACTGTACAACACTTTCACGACAATAGTTCTCCTGTGTCTAGGTATACTTTGAGTGAAATTGTTCCTATTTGATTAATGTTTGGCTTGAAT